TTTCACATTATTGAATTTTAGTCTTAAAAATTTTTATTATTATTGATTTTTTGCCAGTATGAAAGACAAAATGTTATATGGGAGTTTTAATTTGTAACTTTCTGATTACAACTGAACATATGTAATATGTTTATTGGCAATCTGTGTTTCTTTCATACACTGATAGCTTTAGCTCACTTATCTTTTCGGTAATCTTTTTTTAGTTCATTCTTTTTATATTCTGAATACTAATCAGTTGTCTCTAGTACATGTCACAAGTACCTTTCTTCCTGTCTGTCTTAAAAATTCATGGTTTTTTAAAAATGTCTAGATGCTTCCTGGCCTTGTTGGCTTCAAAATCTGGCAATTGTCTTGGCTGCATGTGGTCTTGATACAGGGTTGCAGGTCCTTTTCAAAGTAGATGCTGTCTCCTAAGTACCAGGAGGCCGTAGGAGATTTTTCATATTTGTGACCCAACTCCGCAGGTTCCTGTATCACCCCAGCACTTAGCAGATGTCCTCTGGAGACATTTCTTTTGCCTATGCAGGTATAATTCTCAGCCCTAAATCTGCAACTGCAGACTTAATTTCCAAAACGAATTACACAGGAAACCTATAGGAAAGAAAATGGCTAGTGATCTTTGCTTACCCTAGGAATGGTTCTTCCCTTCCTGGAATGTCAGTTCCTTTAGTCTTCATTGCTTTCATGATTTCTGATATCTTAAAAATATGATACACTGTAATCCCAGCACTTTGGGAGGCCGAGGCGGGCGGATCACAAGGTCAGGAGATCGAGACCATCCTGGCTAACACCATGAAACCCCGTCTCTACTAAAAAAATACAAAAAACTAGCCGGGCGTGGTGGCGGGCGCCTGTAGTCCCAGCTACTTGGGAGGCTGAGGCAGGAGAATGGGGTGAACCCGGGGGGCGGAGCTTGCAGTGAGCCGAGATCACGCCACTGCACTCCAGCCTGGGGCACAGAGCAAGACTCCATCTCAAAAAACAACAACAAAAAAAATGATGCAAAGTTTTTTCTAGTTGTTGCAGTAGGACCAATACATTTCTGCTACCCACTACACCCTGCTTGCAAGTGGAAATCCATTTGTAGATTCCCTTTTGGATTTTCTGTGAACTCAACAAAAACATCTGCAAATAATGACATCTCTTCCTTTCCAGTCTTTTTTTAATTATTATTATTTTGATCAAGAACTCCAAATCAGTGTTATATAGAAGTGATAGCAGGCATCTTTTTTCTTTTTTGATCTCAACTTGAAAGCTTTTAGTATATCACCATTCAGTTGTTTGTTACTTGTTTATTTATCCTTTTTTCAGTTAAGGAAGTTCTCTTCCTAGTTTACTGAAAGTGTTTAAGCATGAATGGATATAGATTTTTATCAAATGCTTTTCTGCTTTTGAGAGATAACAAAATTTTTCTCTTTTATTCTGTCAGTGTTGTGCTGTACATTAATTGGTTTTCAAATATTTATCTAAACTGAAGTGCTAAACTAAATCCAGCTTTCTTGTGATGTATTATCCTTTGTATGTAGTGCTAAGTTTCTTAATATTTCTTTTTTTTTTTGAGACGGAGTCTCGCTCTGTCCCCCAGGCTGGAGTGCAGTGGCGTGATCTGGGCTCACTGCAAGCTCCGCCTCCCAGGTTCCCGCTGTTCTCCTGCCTCAGCCTCCCGAGTAGCTGGGACTACAGGCGCCCGCCACCTCGCCCGGCTAGTTTTCTGTATTCTTTTTAGTAGAGACGGGGTTTCACCGTGTTAGCCAGGATGGTCTCTATCTCCTGACCTCGTGATCTGCCCGTCTCGGCCTCCCAAAGTGCTGGGATTACAGGCTTGAGCCACCGCGCCCGGCCTTTAATATTTCTATTCAAGTTTTGCATGTGTGTTCTTGAGTAAGATTAACAAATACTTTTTTTTCCTCATAATTTTCTTATCAGGATTCCCATAAAGATTACGTTGACCTCGAAAACTAGTTGGGAAGTGTTCCCTGTTGTATTCTCTGGAATAGTTTTTGTAAAATTGCCATTATTGACTCCTTAAATGTTTGGCAGAATTTACTGGTGAAGATGGCTGGGAATGGAGTTTCATTTGTGGAAAGGCTTTGAATTAGATTTGGGTTCTTTAATAATTGTAGGATTCTTTTTTGAGATGGAGTCTTGCTGTGTTGCCCAGTCTAGTCTTGAACTCCTGGGCTCAAGCAAACCTGCCTTGGGGCTGTGGGCATGTGTCACTATACCTGGCAATAATTTTAGGATAATTTATATCTTCTGTTTCTTCTAGTGTCAGTTTCAATAAGTTATATTTTCATGGGAGTTATATGAATCATCGAACTTATTGGAATTAACTTACTGATAATAGCTATCAGTGGAAGGATCTTAGAAGTATATTTTTTGAAAGAGAAAAACATGAGGTCATACCAGTACTTCCAATTCAAATTATTATAGGGTTTTTACTTAATCACTCAGTTTTATATATTTTTTCCTTATGCTGAAAATCTTGATTCTTAATGGCATTAACATGATTACTCATGTGCTTTATCAGTAATATATGTGTATGTATTTAATTTCAAAATAACAATGCCAGTACTAAATTTTTAAAAAATTTTATTTTGTTTTAATGTTAAACATTTCCATGGTTCCAAAGTCAAAACTGTAAAACCAAAGTATAGTCAGGGAATTTATCCTAGACCTCTCCATCCATTTTCTCCCATTGGTGTTTTTTTTGTGGGTAGAGGAAAGACAACTATATAAGCAAGCATATATAGACATGTAAATATGTGTGCATGTATATACATATGTATTTATATTTCTTCCCCAAATTTCTTCTCCCTATTTCTTATACAAAATATTTGACCTGTACATGCTCTTCTGCACCTGGGTTTTTTTTTTGTTTTTTTTTTTTTAACTTATCTTGAAGATTGCTCCTTAGCAGCAAACAGAGATCTTTTTTATTTCTTTATATTACAGCCTAGTACTTCATTATATGGGTACCATACTTTATTCAGCCAGTCTCCTATTGATAAGCATTTGGAGAAATAGTAACTTTTTGTTGTTGTTGTTGTTGAGACAGGGTTTCACTCTGTCGCCCAGTCTAAAGTGCACTGGCACGAACTTGGTTCACTGCAACCTCCACCTCCCAGTTTCAAGAGATTCTTGTGCCTCGGCCACCGGGTAGCTGGGATTACAGGCGTGCGCCACCATGCCTGGTTAATTTTTGTATTTTTAGTAGAGACAGGGTCTTGCCATGTTGGCCAGGCTGGTCTCAAAATCTTGACCTCAAGTGATCTACCCACCTCAGCCTCCCAAAGTTCTGGGATTACAGGCATGAGCCCCTGGGCCTGGCCAAAATACTAACTTTTAAAAAGGCATTTTCCATTCTCAAGACTACAATACTGTAGTGTTGGCCATTAGAACTATTTGATCTAATTTTTAAACACTTTTTGTTTATACATCATGCAAAAATTCATTTTATAGCCAGGCACAGTGGCTCACAACTGTAATCCCAGCTTTGGGAGGCTGAGGCGGGAGGATTGCTTCAGTTCAGGAGTTCAAGACTGACCTGGGCAACATAGTGAGACCTCATCTCTACAAAAAAAATTTTTGAATTAAAAACCTTAAGAAGATTTGCCAGGCATGGTGACACACACCTGTTGTCCCAGCTACTCTGGAGGCTGAAGTGGGATGATTGCTTAAGTCAAGGAAGTTAAGGTCGCAGTGAGCTGAGATCGTGCCACTGCACTCCAGCCTGGGTGACAGAGCAAGACCCTGTCTTCAAAAAGGAAAAAAAAAATCAAAGTTTCTTTTTTTTTTTATTTTTATGATTTCTCAGGTTATTTATCATTGTAAGTAGGATAAGCTCAAGTCTTTGTGGCTTTTGCTTTATTACAGTTGTCTTTATTTTATTTAAAAGACTTCTACTTGTTTATGGTGTACGCTCTCTCATTTCTCAATTTGTAGTACCAATTTAATCTCATTAAGTCCTTGCTCAGGTAATAGAACCCATCATCTTTATAACACCCCAAAGACATAGTCTCTCCTTGTAATTTATCAGGTTGAAAAGGGTCATGTAGTTGATATGTATCTATTACTCATCTGCTTCAAGGAAGTACCAACTCCTAAAGCAGACAGATTATTGTCTATGTTAATTATGTATAAATTAAAATGTCTTACTTCAGATTTCTGTGATTTGATGAATAAAGCATTCTTTTCAATCTCAGTATGACCAGTTGTTCCTGTTGTTTATTCATATGTGTCTTCTGTTTAAAGAATTTTAGTAATCACTCATGATTTCTACTTTATAAATCCATGTGGAGTTTGCCAAAGTATTATATAATCTTAGTTACTTAGTTTGCCAAAGTGTTATATCTTTTCTCCAGCCCCCCTTCTGAGAGCTCATATTCCATTTTAACCTCTAATATACTTTTAGTATTTTTGATTGTCTATAGTAGAGAGAATAAAGTACAACCTCGACTAAACAAAATATTATAAGTACTTTTGCCTCTTCCTGGACCATGCAAAGACTTTAGAATATTTAGCATAATTTACCTCCTGCTTACCTTCCCTCCCCAGCTTATATGCTGCTCTCAGGTATTTTAACGTCTGTCGAACCCCATAAGGCATTATTATTATTGCTATTTTTATAGTCATTATTCATGTGCCATGCTTACTGTGGCATCTGTTGTATTATTTAATTTGATGCTTAAGACAATCTTACGTGGCAGAAATGATTATCCTTATATAATAGATGAGAACTAAGGCATGGAGAGTTTATGCATTTTACAAGTTCACATGGCCAGTAAGTCACAAATTAGGATTTAAACCCAGTCCAGAACCTGGTCTCTTAACTAGTGTAAACTCAAGTCCTGATTATTACTATTTTTTTCTCTCTCACTGAAAAATAATGACTTGAACCAAAAAGTTCTCACTAAGCAATTGTAAGATTTTTGACCATTAGGCTAATGGGCTCACCCTGACTACGTATGAGGGTAAATAATTTTTTTTCATTCTTTTAGCTGACATAGCCCAGAGATACAGGATAAGCAAATACCCAACCCTCAAATTGTTTCGTAATGGGATGATGATGAAGAGAGAATACAGGGGTCAGCGATCAGTGAAAGCACTGGCAGATTACATCAGGCAACAAAAAAGTAACCCCATTCAAGAAATTCGGGACTTAGCAGAAATCACCACTCTTGATGTAAGTTGTAACTTTTGCTAGATTAAATGAACATTCCCTGATTAATGTAAACAAATTCTAATGCAAACAAAAAATCTGGACATTCTCCTATAGTTTATTGCAGTGGATTTGACATACATATACTTAATGAGTTGAATTTTTTTGAATTAATCTCAAGGGAAATACTTATGTTATACTGAACTTCTGGATGAAAGATATAGCATACAGTAAAGCTGTACTAATGTGAATTGAGCACATATGAAAGCCTCAATTATAAAGAAATGGAAGTTAAAGTCAAGTATATACAACCAGAGCTTCTGTATTTTTCTTGTGGAGACCTTCAGGGTGTCTGCTCTAATTGCTCTTGTGTGAGCTCTTTTTATGAGTTTTAATGTCCTCTAAAATAGCCTCTGCTTAACGATAAGTTTAGCATACCCCTTTCTTTGTACACTGGGTAGTGTTTTAAAGACAACAACAACAAAAGCAAAAACAATTGAGTTTGGGCTCTATCACAATCACCAATCATCACTGTCAGGTTTGAGATTTGATTTTACCCTACTTGCAAGCTAAGCTAACCAATTACCATTTCATGGATTCTGTTAGAAGACACAAGACTGCTGGGTCAGAGACAAAGGAATTTATTGCTCACATCACAGCAAGTAGTGTGAGCATGTTTGCATTTGTTTCCTTGCCCTCCAAATCCTATGGAGGCAATACAGAGGACTCCCCAGATGGATACCTGCACATGCAGTGGGTTATGTCACAGGAGAGGGACACTGGGCTTGGGGAACTCACTATGTCAGAGCAAGCAGTAACCCTGCATTTGTCCTGGCTGGAGGCATTCCCTAGTATCAGTGTTGCTCGCTGCAAGCACAACTCTGAGAAATGGCCTGGATAAAGAGTAGTCAGAGTCTTGCATTTTTTGGTAGACCCAGTAAGATGGGTAGGAGTGTGAGAGAGCCATGGAGGAGTCTCTCCAACAGTCACAAGTTATGATTGATACATTGTTTTAACACATTTTAGAATTAGTCCCCTTACTTAGGAAAAGATTGTCACTGATCAAATAGTTATCTATTTCTTAAAAATTTTAAATGCTAGAGGGAAATGTTTATGATTATATTTATTATAGTTAAGATTGTTTTCAACCCAATGTAATCTTTAATAGTTTTGGACTAGGTGTTAAAAACTAAATATGCATTTATAGTCATACTTCATTTGAACAATAACTAGACTAAGATAAGGGGTAAATGAAATAACATGTTTATAAAACTATGTGTGTTTGCAAAATAATTACATACTTTATTTTACAGCGCAGCAAAAGAAATATCATTGGATATTTTGAGCAAAAGGACTCGGACAACTATAGAGTTTTTGAACGAGTAGCGAATATTTTGCATGATGACTGTGCCTTTCTTTCTGCATTTGGGTAAGTATCTTATTTAAAAGTGTGTTAGTGGGTTGGTTTGGCTGCCATGTTAAATTCCTATTGTATTTGGTCATTTTCTGAAGGTGATCTCTCCAAAAATGATCTCAGTCCTTTTAAAATCACCAAACAGTCTTTATGCCTGTCTCTGAATTCTTTTTAAGGTTTTAAAACTCTGTTTTTCTTTCTATAGTATTATCTGTTTCAGAATGTGGGCAAGCAGGAAAAAATGGACAAGTTAACAATTAACTCATTCATGCTTTTATTGAACTCATTTACTAACTCTTATCCTATGTTAGACAAAATGCTAATCTGTGGGGTTACCACAGTGAAACAACACACTGTCTTTCTTGTTAAGAAGCATGAGTTTTATCGTCTTCATTCGTCTCCATCTCTCCACCACCTTTTCTTATATCTTCCCTGTCTCAGAGGAACAATTCTTTCTAAGGCTAACCTGTTCTCTGGTATCCTTGTAACTGTCCTTTCAAACTCCTCTGGGGCTTTGATCCACCAGTTGTTCCTGCTTTCTTGTGTTTTCAACCTGACCCTTTTCAAGAACTGCTTTCCTTTTCTGAAAACATGCTTCTTTCTTTCCTGACCTGCCTCTTCTCTTAAGCTATAATGTCATCTTTCTTTTTATTCTTTTTTTTTTTTTCCAAAGAATAGTTTATGCCTGGCTACCATGATTTTCTCAAATTCTGACCAGTAAAAAACTTAACCTTTTGGAAGCTAACTTTCACCTCCATTGCTCTAATGAAACTTGTCTCTACACATTCACAAAATGACTTCTTAATTACCAGATTGAGTGGTCTTTTAAACATCTTAATCCTTTTCAATTCCTCTGAAGGGTGTGATGTTCAACTACCTTTTCCTTTTTCTGCTGTGTCAACACTTACGTTGAATCCCCCTGGTTTGGCCCCTACCTGTCTGAATTCTCTGACTTTATCTCCTTTTTTTTTTCTTTTTCTCAAGATGGAATCATTTTTGTGGTTCTGTTCTTGACCCTCTCTCCTCATTGGAGGTTATCTCAACCATCCTTTGACTTCCATGCAGTATTATTTCTTTTCATTGGCTCATGACTGTTAGGCTCAATTGTAGTAGCTATCTTGAGTGGAGCCTGGATGTCTGGCACAATATATCCTCTTCATTTTTTGACCTTTATTGTTTGTCCTTGCTTTAATGCTTTTGTAAGATTTTGTTTGTATGTTTTATTGTGTGCATTATTAGTTTTTTGTTTTTTAAGCGATGAGGTCTCACATGTTGCCCAGGATGGTCTTGAACTCCTGGCCTCAAGTGATCCTCCTGCCTCCGCCTCCAAAAGCGCTGGGATTATAGGCATGAGCCACTGTGCCCAACCCGTATTCATTAAATGCTGCAAGCACACTTCTGCAGCAGAGCCTGTATCTGAAAGTGCTCCTCCCAGATGTCATCTCATCAGAAAGTCTTTGCCTGATAACTTTATATAAAGGAGCACTACCATCATTTAATTTGTCATTCTTTATCTACTTATTCCACTTATTTTCTTCATAGCATTTTTTTGTAACCACCAAAGATAAATATATCTACTTGTTAGTCTATCTCTACTCACCAAAATGTAAACTCCATGAGAGAGAGAGAGTTTTGTTAGTTTTGTTCACTCCTGTTTACCCAATGTCAAGGCATAGCTGGTATAAAGGAAGCACATAATAAATAGTTATTGAATTAATTAATTAATGGAACACATTTTTTCTGTTCTCACTGTTATCAATCTAGGTTAGCACCCCTTCCCCCTGTCTCCTGGACTACTGTAATTAGAAACTAGAGATAAATCAATATTCAATTAATCTAAAAATAATTGATTACAAAAGTAATTTGTTATAGTATTCACTCTACATATTTTTATTGAACAACTTTTATGTGCCAGATACTGTACTAGGTTCAGGAAACAACAATGGACAAATAAACAAAAAATTACTTATTTATGGAACTATATTTTAGTGACGTGGGTTATTTCGGGGTTTTTTTTTGGTTGTTTTTTTTTTTTCAGTCCTTGTGACCAAACCAATGACTTTGATCCCTAGTTGCTAGAATACAGTCTGGGGTCAAAAACAACCTTTTAGTGCTAAAACTCCCAATCTAAACTTATACAAAACACAAAAACAACTAAAATTTTCCTTTAAAAAGTCTGCCTCATATTAAATGTTTTCTTTAAATGTATGCTTTTCTTGCTATTGCATAGTCTTATAATAGGGACTATGATGGATAAGTATGTATTTCAAGTCTGTAATTCCTACATTGCAGAATCCTGTCATTCAGGTTTATTACTGCTTCTCCCTTCCTATAGGGATGTTTCAAAACCGGAAAGATATAGTGGAGACAACATAATCTACAAACCACCAGGGGTAAGTTGCTATTTCTTAATGTTGTATGATAAGATATAATTTAAATACATGTATAAAATGTAGTTTTATATGTGTTAATGTTCATAGAATCATAGAACTTTAGAATTGAAAGGAACTTTGAAGCATCATCTTGTGCTGATCTAAACCGTTCAAAACGAAGATGGAACCACAGAAGCCTAAAGTCACACAGGCATTAGAGTAGCAGAGCTGGCCTTAGGGATCCCCTGACTCTCAGGCCTTTTCTACCTCTCTGGCATTCAGTCTGGGAGCCAAATTTTTAAAATGCTGCAGTTGCCTGTGATTGTCATTTCTACCTGTTGTATTTGGCTACTATTGTACTAGCCAAACTCCCAAATCTCCTGGGCTATAAATTTACTCAGTACCTGCCAGGTAATAAGGAGCAGTTAGGTTGTTTTTAACCTGTAGGATAAGAAGTTTTAAGTAGCTGCTTAGGCCCTACCAGGTGATGGTAGCCATAACTAAGAGGCAAAAATCATAGCATGTGTTATCCCAAATTCACCAAAAAAAAAAAAAAGGAAATTTATGGATATTTTTTCAATTTGTAGTTTTCATTTTAATGTTGTTTATAGTGTTTTTACACTGAGATTTTAAATTTTTGTGCAGATAAATGAATTTCTTGCTTAGAAAGTTTCTATTTTAAATTCACATAGGTGTTTGCTTATGTTTTTTGCAAGTACATTTCTTTGAGTAGCTTACTTAGTATCATCATCTCTAGATTATCAGAATGCAGTACATATCTCCCAGTGGTAGTGTGGTTGTTCAGAGCATGGGCTCTGGTGGTATCAGACTGGGTTTGAATGTCAAATGTGCCACCTTCTTAGGTATGTTACTCTGGGAAAGTTTCTTCACTTCCCCATGCTTCAGTTTCTTAATTAGTAAAAATGGGATGATAATAACAGTACTTGCTTTATAGGGATGTTGGGAGGATTAAATGAATCAACACATATAAAATGTTCACAATCATGCCTAGACACAGTAAGTTTATCGATTAATATTAGCTATTATTTTTATCATTTTAGACACTTCATAGATAATTGACTTTGAGTTAATGTGGAAACAGATATGGAGGTAATAAAATGAAATAGTCTTGCCTTACATCCATATAGCATCTTGTATTTTTCAAGGCTTTTTCACTATCCATATTTTCTTCTAAAAGAAGTAATTTCTAAAATTTTCAGTTCTAAGGAATAGCTAAATTAATTCATTTGGAGAATTCTTCTTTTCACAATGCCTTTCTGCCTTTGGTGAGGATACTGAAAAAGAGTTAATTGACCTAAATCCAAGAAAAAGCAATAGACTTGGGTGTCACAGGTTAGATTATTAGCTCACTGGTAATCACAGAATTACCTGCTTTTTACCACCTATGGCCCTCTTTCTTGGAAGTTCCATGGTTTATGTTTCTTTTGTAACACCGGTAGATTTTCTGGGTTCATGGATGGATTTAAGAATGTACTTTTTAGCCTGGGCAACAGAACAAGACCACATCTCTGAATAAAATAAAATAATTAGCTTGGCATGGTGGCATGCACCTGTAGTCCCAGCTACTCTGGAGGCTGAGGTAGGAGAATTGCTTGAGCCCAGGAAGTCAAGGCTGCAGTGAGCCATGATCATGTCACTGTACTCCAGCGTGGGTGACAGAGTGAGACTTTGCTTTAAAAAAAAAAAAAAAAAGAATATACGTTTGCCAGCACAGTTTAGATTTAATTTTTTTTTTTTTTCTGTCTTGTAATAGCATTCTGCTCCGGATATGGTGTACTTGGGAGCTATGACAAATTTTGATGTGACTTACAATTGGATTCAAGATAAATGTGTTCCCCTTGTCCGAGAAATAACATTTGAAAATGGAGAGGTATGGGCTTTCTACTGTGTATTGTTACTTTAAATTCAAATGTCTGAAACCACAAGCTTCCTCCACCTGTCTTACTATGTTAACAGAGTTATCAGTTGTAAGAATCATATAGTGAACATAACTATATCATAGCTGTTTCTGTAATATAAGCCAGTGATTCTTCACCTTTGCTGTCCCAGAACCCCTCTATTACATTTCCAGTAAGAGTAGTAGTTCACCATAACCTTGAAAATGAGTTTGAAAATGCCTTTCAGGTGATTCTGATGCCCATCTGTTGGTTGAGGATCCCTGTTTGGGTGGATGTCCTTTAGAACAAGGGTCCGCAGCCATGGCCTGCTAGGAAGAGGGCTGCCCAGCGAGAGAGCACTACAGCCTGAGCTCTGCCTCCTGTCAGATCAGCGGCAGCATTAGATTCTCATAGGAATGTGAACCCTGTTGTGAACTGTGCATGTGAGGGATCTAGGTTGCATTCTCCTTATGAGAATCTAACTAATGCCTAATGATCTGAGGTGGAACAGTTTCATCCCGAAATCATCATCCCCCACCCCGATCAGTGGAAAAATTGTCTTCCATGAAACTGGGCCCTGGTGCCAAAAAGGTTGGGGACTGCTGCTTTAGGAGCAGTGCTTTGCAGATTTTAGTTACAATTATTTCTATATAATGAATAATCCTTTGCCATTAAAAGATTCTTCTGTTTTTTGTAAAGCAGTTAATGTTGTCTTTTTCATTATAAATAATGAAAGCAGTTAGCAGTGATCATGTAACTGACCTCAGTCGTCCCATGCGTCTGAAATCAAGTCCATCAAAATTCTTTCAACTCCCACCAAAACAAAACTTAAAAACCTAAGAGGCTGGAGGAACAAGTACAAAGAGTTATGTCTGTAAGGACCTCTGTCCTTTCTTTACTTTATGTAAGACATAGCTTTCATTCCAGGTCTTTTGTTTTTAAAATCAATGGCCTAAGAATGCAAGTTTTTAAAAACTTTGTATTAGGTACAGTTTTTAAAAACTTTGTGTATGCATATACACTTCAAAGAATTGTAAGTGTATAAATCACAGTTTAAATATCTGATCCCCCAAAATTATCACGAGTAAACATACCCATATAATCACTACTTACAGTGGTATGGAACAAATATTTGTGTGTCCTAATATTCATATGTTGAAATCCTAATCCCCAATGTGATAGTATTAGGGAATGAATCCTCCATTCATGAGATGGAGTCCTCATGAACGGGATTGTGACCTCATAAAAGAGACCTCAGAGAGTTATGTAGCTGTCTTTCTGCCATGTGAGGATACAATGAGAAGTAGGCAGTCTGCAACCTAGAAGACAGCTCTCACTAGAACTGACCATGCTGGCACCCTGATTTTCGATTTCCGGCCTCCAGAATGATAAGAAATGAATTTCTGTTAATTTGCAAGCCACCCAGTTTATGGTACTTTAATATAGCAGCTCAAACTAAGAGAGAGGGTAGACAATTTTTTTCAACAAAGAGTCAGGTAATAAGTATGTTAGGCTTTGCAGTTCATATAATCTCTGTGGCAGCTACTCAACTTTTCGGTTGTAGCACAAAAGTAACCTTAGACAATACGTAAACAAATGTGTGTGGCTGTGTTTCAATAAACCTTTGTTTCTGGACACATACTTTCCACATGCCATGAAATATTTTTAAAATTTTCTCCAATTATTTAAAAATATAAAGACCAGGGAGGGCCCTGTGCCATGGCTCATGCCTATAATCCCAGCACTTTGGGAAGCCAAGGTGGGTGGGTCACCTGAGGTCAGGAGTTCGAGACCAGCCTGGCTAACTAACATGGTGAAACCCCATCTCAACTAAAAATGCAAAGTTAGCTGGCCATAGTGGCAGGCGCCTGTAATCCCAGCTACTTGGGAGCCTGAGGCAGGAGAATCACTTGAATCTGGGAGGCAGAGGTTGCAGTGAGCTGGGATCCGGCCACTGCACTCCAGCCTGGGCGACAGAGCGAGACTCCGTCTCAAAAAAAAAAAAAAAAAACCAAACCAAACAGTTAAAGACCAGTTATAGCTTATGGACCTAACAGAATCAGGCAACAAGTCAGATTTGACCCATGGCTATAATTTGTCAATCCCTGAGCTAAGTCAAGAAATAAAATATTTCCAAACCCCTTGTCTTCCTTCTCAATCATTACCCCCATTTACCATCTTCATAATCACCACTTATTTTGAATAGGACTATAGGAAGTTTTTCCTGTTTTTGAACCTAAAATAGAATCATGTCTTTTGTGTCTGGCTTCTTTCACTCAACTTTATATTTATGGAATTCATTCATATTGCATGAAGCTGTAGTTCATTCATTTTCATGTTGAATATAATTCCCTATATAAATATAACACAATGTATCCATTCTACTATTGGTGGACATTTAGACTGCTTCCAGATTTTGACTACTGTGAATAATGCTGCTATGAACATTCTTATTATGTCTTTTGGTGAATATATGCACAGATTTCTACTGGATATATATACCTATGAATAGAATTGCCAAGTCATAGGGCATATATATATTCAATTTCAGTGTATGATAACCAGTTTTTCCAAAGTGGTTTTAGCAGTTTACATTCCTACCAGTAGTGTATCAAAGTTCACATTGCTCCACATCTTTACCCACATTTGTATCAGCTATTTACATTTTTAATCTATTTTGGTGTATGTGTAGTAGAGTTTCATTGTGGTTTTAATTTGTATTTCCCTGATGATCAGTGGGATTGAGCACTATCAGTTGCCTTTTCTGGAAAGACAGATGGTCCTAGAAGAAAAGCAGCTTCAAATGCAATGCTTAATGTTCTGGGTTTCCTTCTATTCCAGTCTTGGCCCATAATTCTTTCCTTTTTTTTTTTTTTTTTAACTTTTGGATGCTTTCAAAAAGGTGGTTTATTCTTATTATTATTACCCTGGTTTTTCTAATTTTCCCAGTAGTAAGATTAGTCCAAAGTACATCCATTATTCAGAATGTAATTTTTAGCACTGTAGCTTAACCTAATTGTAATACAACAAAACCTGGAGTTCTTAAGGAAGAATATAATCTCAGATTTGATGCTGTTACTAAGGTGTATGTATATTGGTAAGTGCTTTAAGATTTGGAGATAATATATGTGAATTCTCCAAGATTCCCTGAAACTCTCCCTGAGTCTTTCCAGAGGCTTCCAGCTCTTAGATCTTAGTATCTCTTTCCCCCTTTCTTGGGGAAGAGAGAGAGCAACACTTAACTTTTGGGACTGGCCATTGTGAGCAAACCAGAATGCTCTTTGCCCCCTCTTCGCCTTGAGAATGCATTCTTGGGGTATTTCTGATCTGTGTCCATTGGCATTTCCAACACTTAGACTGAGATGTATAAGGCAAAAAGAAAACTCAAGGAACTGAGTGCCATTTCTTAGGTCCTTAAGTCCTTAGCCAGTCTGCTTTGTTTTATTCGCTTTTCAGGGCCTTATGTTTGTTTATATAATGTCCAGGATTTTTAGCTGAACTTCCTGGGAGAAATAGAGAAAAGTGTCTACTTCATCTTTCTGGAAGCAGAAGTCTATGCCAACAGCATTTAAAAACTCGTTATAAGATTTTTTTTTACCTGATTTAAATGTTGCCTTTGCATTTTAGTACATAAAAATAAGTTAGTATTTTTATGTCAGCATGGTACATTTTTGGTGTACCTTTTCCACCATAAAATAATATTTAATTCTTATTAAGTTTGTAGCAATTTCAAATCAAATGTATGAATGTTTGTATGAGATTCTCGGTGTGTCTGCTTGGACAGATCATTGCAAGCCTAAATCATCTTACATTGGCTCTTTGCTGAGTGTTTCATAGAAAGAGGATTAGTGCTGCCAGGATCCAGTTTAACATGTAAGAATACTCCACTGGGACATCCTACTTGTTTATAATAGCTATTTCTCAAATCAAAGTTCTAAAAATGGTTTCTCATGAAATGTGATTAATATATTTTTAATCCTGCAAGCTTAAATATCATAAACTTATCAGGCTCTATTGCACTGGTTAGTATCTTAATGCAATGCCATATTATAAAATATTTTGGAATTTTGAATTATAGAAGACTTTTGAGTGAAAATTCTAACACAAGCCTTTTCTTGCAAAGTCTCTCTTTTTGGTTTAAAGAAGTTGCTTTACCAAGTTTTCTGGTTTCTTTTGTTCCTGCAATTCTTTGATTCTACTTCCTTTTCCCTAGTTTTTTAGAATTTCAGAGAGTATTCCTAATTTGAAAATCTGAAATCTGAAATGCTCCAAATTCCAAAATTTTTTGAGTACCTCCATGACACTCTTGGAGCACTTTATATTTTTAGATTAGGGATGCTGAAGCGTTAACAATAATGCAAATATTTCAAAATCCAAAACACTTCTGATCCCAGGCATTTTAAGTAAGAGATACTCAACTTTTATTTCTGTGTCACAGCTTGGCACTTGGAGGCCATTCTTAGTGACCAGAGTATTTTTTTGTTCAGTAATGTTCTGTTGCTTCTTTCAGTGTTATTTTTGAACCTTCTTCTCAAAGTAGTATTTTCCTGGATTTTGAGTAATTCATATTGTTAAGACGCATCTTAAGTCATTGTAGTTTCTTGAGATGGTTTGAATAAATATGCTCAGATTGGGTGTCTTTCAATCTTTAATCATGTGTCATTACCCCCCATGACACACTAAATGCTTAGGTACAGGAATTCAAATGTTTGGATCAAATAGCGTCTTTCAAACCATTTCTCATTGTAGGGCAAAGCAAAAAAATTTTCACTAGAATATACATAATTCTTATTTTTCATTGAATAATACCCTTCTGTGTGCAATGCACTCAATTTTGTATTCTTTTCTTTTTAATACTGGATATATAGATTGGATGTAGCACACATAATCTTGTCTTGCTTCCATCTCTTTCCTATCATTAATAGCATTTTAAAGTGGACTGTAAGACATTTCACGGAATTCAAAATACTGCTCCTACAATTTGAGTGTTTGGCCACAAGGTGTCAGTGGTGTGTCATAGTTTTATAGTACCAGCAGCCTAGAAGAGATTGGGATTTAAGCTCCCTCTGCTTTTTAATGCACATTCATACTTATTAAAAAAAAAAAAAAAAAACTTAGAATTTATTAATAGAATAGTTAAGACAAGCAATTGTAAAGCAGAATGTTTGAGGTACTTTAAATCAAACTTTAAGAAAGTAAACATTTAAAAAATACTTATTTATTTATATTTGAATTGTTAGTCTTTTCCATTTTGATCTTAAACTTAGTTTTGAAAGAGAGGATGGATTAGACTCTTTCTGCTTACAGTTTATCAAGTGAATGTCCTAGGTCCCCCCCGCCTTTTTTTTTTGAGATGGAGTTTCGCTCTTGTCACTCAGGCTGGCGTGCAATGGTGCGATCTCAGCTCACTGTAACCTCCACCTCCCAGGGTCAAGGGATTCTCCTGCCTCAGCCTTGAAGGAGTAGCTGGGAATACAGGTGCCTGCCACCACGCCCAACTAATTTATATATTTTTAGTAGAGACAGGGTTTCACCATGTTGGTCAGGCTAGTCTTGAACTCCTGACCTCAGGTGACCCACTCGCCTCAGCCTCCTAAAGTGCTGGGATTACAGGTGTGAGCCATTGCGCCCAGCCTGTCCCTGGTTTTCTTACTTCTGTAGGCCTCAGGTATGTTTAGTTGGATTACTTACATTTTTTAGACAATTTGCATTCACTCATTTAGTCCTCAGAGGCCCAGGAAAATTTAAGAATTTGTCATGACTATTCGCCTGCTCTGGCAGTTCTCTCAGGGATAATTTTTAAAACCAGATTTAAAGGTATAGACCTGGAAAATCTTAAACAATGAAACAGGGTAGCACCCTTCCCCGTGGTTGTCAGCACATTTAATACTTCTTGAGATTTGTTATGTTGTAACCAACCATTCAGTCATTTAATCTGTGGGGAAATAGCTGTTTCCTGTAAATCTGGTTATCTTACTATTCTTCTCCTTAATCTTTTAACATTTGTTTGGTAAAAAATATGCTTGTATGGACATAGGTAAACTTGGAAGCCTAAGCAGCATACATTACCACCTATTTAGAAGCATTTGTTTATTTATTGACATATGTTGATTGTGAGCAAAACAGAAATGAAGTAAGATTGTCTTCAAGGGGTTTTCAGTTTAATATTTCATATGTACAGATAATATAACACAAAGTCATGCCCCATTCCACATGAGGGGCACTGATAAAATGCTCTTGGAGTTTAGAAAAAAGAATTTTCCTTTGACAGGGATGGGGTGGAATGAGAGATGGCTTTAGAGAAGAGGCACTACATCCTGAAAAGAAAAGTACTAAGAGAGAAGTAGAAGTACTAAAGAAAATGGGGAGATAGGAGAAGGAGGTTAGACAGGAGGGGACTAGGCAGTAGTTTGAGTATTTAAAGTACTTGTTTAGAATTTGAAATGGAGATGTTAAGCAGACAGATGGAAACCTAGGCTTGGATTCTGTACTGGAGCTGGGCTTGTAGACACAGATAAGTGATCAGAAGTAGTGATCGAAACTGTTGAACTACATGAAGTTGTCAGGCTAGACCAGAGAAGTCCAAAGACAACCATTGAGACCAGCATCAGTTAATGGATGGTGGAAGAAAAAATGGGAGTCCAAGAGATAAAAGATGAGGAAAAAAAAAATCAGCTTACTAAAAGATTAATGTGATGCCAGGGGGTGGGGAGAGGGGAAATGGGAATCACTACTAATGGGTATGTAGTTTCTTTTTGAAGTGATAAAAAATGTTCTAGGGTGGGTGCAGTGGCTCATGCCTGTAATCCCAGCACTTTGGGAGGCCGAGGGGGACAGATCATGAGGTGAGGAGATCAAGACCATCCTGGCCAAAATGGTGAAACCCCATCTCTACTAAAAATACAAAAAAATTAGCTGGGCATGGTGGTGTACGCCTGTTGTCCCAGCTACTCAGGAGGCTGAGGCAGGAGAATCACTTGAACATGGGAAGCAGAGGTTACAGTGAGCTGAGATCGCGCCACTGCACTCCAGCTTGGGCTACAGAGTGAGACTCCATCTCAAGAAAAAAAAAACCTCTGGAATTAGTGGTGATGTTTGCACAAACTGTAATATAGTTAAAACGCACAAAATTGTACACTTAAAAGATGATGACTCTAGGCCGGGCGCGGTGGCTCAAGCCTGTAATCCCAGGCACTTTGGGAGGGGCCGAGAGGCGGGCGGATCACGAGGTCAAGAGATCGAGAGCATCCTGGCTAACACTGGTGAAACCCCATCTCTACTAAAAAAATACAAAAAAAAACTAGCCGGCGAGGCGGGTGGCGGGCACCTGTAGTCCCAGCTACTTGGGAGGCTGAGGGCAGGAGAATGGGTGGTAAACCCAGGAGGCGGAGCTTGCAGTGAACCGAGATCCGGCCACTGCACTCCAGGCCTGGGCAACAGAGCGAGACTCCGTCTCAAAAAAAAAAAAAAAAAATGATGGACTAGGTGTGTGGCCTCATACCTATAATTCCAGCACTTTGGGAGGCTGAGGCAGGCAGATTGCTTGAGCAATCAGAGTTTGAGACCAACCTGGGCAACATGGCGAAATCCCATCTCTACAAAAAATAACAAAAATGAACTGGACATGGTCATGCATGTAGTCCTCACTATTTGGGAGGCTGAGGTGGGAGGATCACCTGAGCCTGGGGAGGTTGAGGCTGTACTCCAGCCTGGGTGACAGAGTGAGACCCTGTCTCCAAAAAACAGTGGTGAAATTTATGGTATGCTAATTGTATCTCAGTTTTTAAAAAAATAAGTGTAACAAGAGACTTAATAATTGATCTTATATACAAGTGAAACAGGCTTAAATATGGAGATGAGAACCAGAAGAAAACTTTTAATCTTGTAAAATAGGTCCCAGTTTCAGTTTTGTTTTTTTTTTAAATAAAGGACATTTGTACTTTCTGGTGAGGTAGTTCCTAAATTTATGGAGAGATGCTCAAAAGGATAGTTGATGAAAATAATTTTGTTTTGAGACCCTTTCTGGACTTTTTCTGATGACTCAGAACTTAGCATTTGTTGGGGAGAATAAATGATTAAATCTATCTACGTATCACATTTCATTTAATCATGACTACTCATTGTATTATTCTCCAATTACAACAATAAAAATTTTAATAGCATTTTATAATTTTCAAGGTGCTTTTGTATGTGTATAAAGAGATATGTAAAAATATATAGGGGCAGGTATTTATTAATAATTGTATTGGTTGAAAATTAGTAAATAATGGAGTTTTTGTCTTTTACCCTGGATAAAACACTTCAGCTTTGGTTAAGTTTTATATATAAGTGTAATGGTTTTCGCAACCTTAGAATACAAAAAAATTTGCAAATCATATTTATTTATTGCTGATATACTCAATTTTCAGTGTTACTTGTGAAGACTGAAAATACTGGTCATGTTTACCCTACCCTAAAATTAACACCTTGGTAAAGAACCAGCATAGTTCACCTCTGTATGTCATGAGTTCAACAGCCTAACCCTGAGGCCTCGTATCCCATACTGGCTGACAGACAGTGGTTCCTTTAAGGCAGATCAGTTTCTGCAGCAAAGCAGGGCATGTGGATCCTCTGACCGCCTGGGTGCTTGAGGTGGGGAGGGGAGTGAATTCAGTCTTCTGTTCAGGCTAATGTTTATTCACACCACTGAGCCTTTTTTTCCCCCCTGGGATATTACAACTATTACATTACATGGGTCGGCTTCAAAATTGTTCCTACCTAGAAAATAGCTACAACTGAATGGAGAAGCCTGATAATTCTCATTGAATGCTTCTCTCTACAGGAATTGACAGAAGAAGGACTGCCTTTTCTCATACTCTTTCACATGAAAGAAGATACAGAAAGTTTAGAAATATTCCAGAATGAAGTAGCTCGGCAATTAATAAGTGAAAAAGGTAGACAGATTAAGGTGTTTATTTTCATCATTTCTTTCTCTCTTTTTTTTCCCCCTTTCATCGTCTCCCCTCCCATTACTTTCAAATCACATAAACATATTTGGGTTAAAACCTTATTTTAGTGCATTCAAATGTGACAGTAAGGAGGCATTAGTAGAGCGATAATATGAAGTAGTGTTTTTTGTTTGTCTTCTAACCATTACTATTTTGGAGAGAAAAATCAAAGTTCATGAAAAGCAGGGTCATGAATGAGCATTAGTTCTGGGCACTTACTTTCATTGCTTGTCTGACTCCTTTTCCGATGGACATTCCCAGAGATGTTACTGAGAGAGCTTACACAGTCTGATTAACATTTATTTCTAAATGAAAGAAAGTTGAGTAGTTGTCTGTGGATTTCTCCAAAGCATTTAATGGAATTTGAGGTATCACCAGCCTTTCCTCTGTAGTTGGGGAAGAAAGTCAAACAAAATAAACTAAAGTTACTGTATAGAGCTGCCCATTTTAGTCACATACTATCTTGCAGGTTGAATTCCACTAAAAATCAACCAGTATGGCTGGAATAGGCTGGTATGAAAATGGTCCCATGAGAATGGCTCATATATCAATTTGAGCTTCCTGCCTAGAACCTGGAAATCTGCAAAGTAAATGATTGCCCATTTAAGGAGAGTAAAACATTCATTATAGCCTTCAAATTTGGGCTAAGTCAATATGATTTCTAAAGAAGTTATACTTCGTGCCCTAAGAACTAAAAGCCTACCTATTTTAAGTGTTAGATATTTAGGTTTTAGTTTTTCTGATCTATATTACTCTTAAGAATGTTGGGGTGCTTTTTTAGTATGTCACTTTTTGTGAGCTTGCAATCTTGTGAAAATATAATCAAGAAAATTTGAATTTACCTCTCAAAATTCTTTTTTTTTTAAAAGGTACAATAAACTTTTTACATGCCGATTGTGACAAATTTAGACATCCTCTTCTGCACATACAGAAAACTCCAGCAGATTGTCCTGTAATCGCTATTGACAGCTTTAGGCATATGTATGTGTTTGGAGACTTCAAAGATGTATTGTAAGTATTCATTTTGTTGTTTAAAAATTACTGAGATGTGTCTCAAAAATGAACTTAAAATAGTTGTTTGAATATTTTAAATAATCCTATGTTGGAACAGTAGGACTCTGTTAACTGGATGGGAGAGGTTTGGGTGACTGCTGCTTTTTTTTCACTATAGAGTGTGGTATAATTATGAACATTATGATATACCCTTGTAGAAATACCAACATTAAGTGATTAGGATTGATAATGAATGCTTGGATGATTAATGATTAATGCTTGGGAATCAGTCTCAAAGAACATTTTTGTCTTGTGAGAAATTAGCTTTTCACTGAGTTTGGTCTTTGCCAAGCACATCAAGAAAAACAGCTTATAACCTTTGGGCAGGGTAAAGGAAATTGTGTAATAGTGCTGTTCATTCGTGACTGCACCTAGCAAGAACATTAGTAGTATTTATGAATCTTGCTATTACTAGGCATTTCTAATGGCATATAGCTATGAACTGTTCCAAGAATAGGTAAGCTTTCTGACTCAATTCTCAGATATTTAGAGTATTAATATATGTATAAGCCTTGTAGGTACTACAGATACTGAATTTTTATCAGCTTTGTGAGGTGTTAAATACAGTGGTTAAAAATGTAGATTTTTTTATATGAAAAGTTTAAGCAATACAGGTATTCAAATTAGACATTTTATTTTGAAAATTCATTTAAATGCCATTTTTATCTCAAAAGATTAAATTACACAGTTAGAGGATGATTTGTAGTCCTATGGCAGAATGAATTACCCCACTCAGTTCTAAATATTTCAGTGGAGATGTGGTTGTTTGGTAGAAGATTCCCAATCCTAAAATTATCTAGGAAGCCTAGATTTGAGTCTTACCTTGGGAAAGTCACTTAACTTCTCTGTTCTTGTTTCTTCATATATAAAAAATGGTTGATGATACCACCTACCTAACGGGATTGTTGTAAAAATTGATGAGAGATAATGATTATGTTATAAACCACAAAGTAGTAACAAATCTTAGTTGTTCTTACTTTATCTATGCTCAGAAAGATACCATTCAACCTATCAATTCATTAAATATTTAGCTATCTCTTCTCTATGACAGATACTGTGCTAAGAACCAAGGTTTTTTACTGAGACTGGGTCCCTGCCCTCAGAGAACTCATAACCAAGTGGAGGAAAGGGACAACCAGCTTAACAGGCAATTATGTTTTATTAAGGGATAAGTGCTCTGACAGAGATCAACAGAGTAGTACCTGATGCAAGATTTCTGGCAATATTGATGCCCAAGGTAGGTATAAAGTTTTGTAGAAGTTTATCCCGGAGGTGAGAAGGAGACAGGGCTTAGAGAAAGGTGACATTGGCAGGAACAAGTTCAAGCGCTGTTGGTGAATATAAGTGGAAAGGCGAATGCTGAGGAATGAGGTCAAGAGAACTAATTCATGGAAGTCCTTACATGCTGTGTTAAGGAATTTTGACTTTATCCTGAAAACCATCAAGAGCTAATGAAAGGTTTTAATCAGGGAGTGACATAATCAGATTGTTTTTTAAATATTACTCTGGCTGCAATCTGGAGAATAGATTAGAGGGGGTCAAAATAAAATCTAGGTGACTGTTCAGTAATCTAGTCAAGAGTTGATTATGAAAGTTAGTCTCAGTGGACATCAGCAAGATGACAGAAAAGGACTTTCCATGTTCCTCTCACACAGAAACATCAAGTAGAACATACATCCATGCACAAAAATACCTTTACAAGAGCTAAGGAAACCACGTCAGAGATTACAGTACCTGAGTGTAGTAAAGAAATGATGCATTGAAGAGTCTAAAAAGGACAGTTTTATACTACTTGCACCACCCCTCACCCAACCCCAGGCAGCACAGTATGGAGAGAGATACCTTTCATGTGGGGAAAGGAGAAGGAAGTTAGCACTAAACTTTTCCTCAGACCCTAACGCTTGGCTTGTCCTGGTAAAACTCAGTGCCAGAAAGGCTTCTGTAGCCCCAGACTACAGGCTGGTACCCATGGACCGAGCATTTAGTCCCACCATGGTGCCAGGCTAGATCTCAAAGCCCCAGGTTGGATTCCAAAGCTGCAGGCCCCAGGCCTGCCCAGCAGACTCAGTCTCTGGATCTACTTCAGCACCAGGCCAATCCCAGTGACTCCAGGCTCCAGACCAGCTGCCCACAGCCCTAATCATCAGGCTAGCACCCACAGACCAAGGGTTTAGGCTTATCCTAGTAGACTCCAGTGATGGACCAGCCTCCATGGACCCAAGTTCTAGGAACATACTTGTGGATCCAGGTTTCAGACTGGCCCCTGAAGCCCCAGGACCCAGGCTAGATTTTGCAGACCTGACTCCAGGCCAGCACCTGCACACTCAGCCTCCAGGCCAACACAAGTAGTCCCAGGCTGTAGCCAGACTCCAAAGCCCTAGGCTTTCAACAAGCCTCAATGGCTTCAGATACCAGGCCAGCAACCATGATCCTATACTACAGACAAGCTGCCATAGATCCTGATTCCACACCTGCCCCAGCAGTAGGTCAACTGCAGGTTCCAAAGACCTAAGATCTATGTTTGCTCCAGTAAACACAGAGTCCAAGTTCACCCTAGTAGGCCCTGGTTCTAGGCCAGTCTCCACAGACAGAGGCTCCAGGACTACCTCTGCAGACCCAGGCTCCAGGCCAGTCCCCTGTGGACTCTTGACCCAGACCCACTCCCATAGACTCAGCCTATCCCAGTGAACCCAAGCACCAGGCTCATCCCAGTGCCTGGCTGGCCCCTGTAGACTCAAAGGCCCACCCCAGTGCCAGGTTAGCTCTAGTGGACCCAGGCTTCAGGCCCACCCTGTTAGATGCAGGCCCATTCCACAGAACCAGTCAACCACTCCAGTGGACCCAAGTTTCAGGCTTAACTCCATGGAACCAGGCACCGAGCTCACCCCCTTGGTGACCCAGGCACCGGGCCAGCCAGTGTGAAGACACTTAAGAGCAAGCCAACCTATGAACCATACCAGGCAGCTGGACTAGAATCCCTGAATGGACTGACTAGTGAAGGGCTTTCCCAGACAAAGCAAGTCAAAGACTAAAATAAGTCTCTACATCTTCAAATGCCCAGACATCAATGTAAGGCAATAAGAAATGAAAAACCAAGGAGACATAAACATAACATCACCCAAAGAGCACAATAATCTCCCAGAAGCTGACCCAAAGAAATGGAGATGTATGAACTGCCTGACAAAGAATTCAAAATCATTGTTTTAAAAAGTAACATCCATGAACTTCAAGAAAATACTGAGAATTCAATGACATCAGGAAAACAAGTTACCAAAATGAGAAGTTTACCAGAGAGATTGAAATTATATATTTCTTAAAAATTAAACAAATTCTAGAGCTGAAGAACACAATGAATGAAAAGAAAATGTAACAGCATCGCCAACAGAATTGAACAATTAGAAGAATTTAAACCTGAATATACAGGTTATTTGAAAACATACAGTGAAAGAAGAAAAAAAGAATGAAGAAAGTTTATGGAATTAATGGGACAGCACCAAAAGAGTAAATATTCAAGTTATAGGAGTAAATGAAGGAGAAAGGAGAAACAAAGGGATAGAAAACTTATTTAAAATGAGAAAAGCTTTGCAAATCTGAGGAAAGGTATAAGTATCTAGGTACAGGAAGGTCAAAGAACTCCAATCAGCTTTAGTTCAAAGACTACACCAACACATAAACTGTTGAAAATCAAGGACAAAGAGAGATTCTGAAAGCAGTAAGAGAAGAGCAAATGACATGTAAAGGAGTTCCAGTACAGCTAGCAGCAGTTTTCTCAGCAGAATCCTTATAGACCAGAAGAGAGTGAGATGATATGTTCAAAAGTACTTAAGGAAGAAAACTGCCAACCAGCAATATTATATTAATACCTAGCAAAGCTGTCCTTCAGAAATGAAAGAGAGCTAAAGACTTTCCCAGATGAACAAAAGCTGAGGGAGTTTCATCAGACCTGTCTTAAAAGGAATGCTAAAAGGGAGTTCTTCAGGCTGAAAGAAAAGGACAGTAAGTACTAACATGAAAACATGAAAGTATAAAACTCAATGGTGAAAGTAAGTATACAGTCAAATTCAGAATACTCTAAGCCTGTAATTGTGGTATATAAATCACTTATAGCTTTGGTATGAAGGATAAAAGACAGAACTATTAAAATAATAATAGCTACAATAATTTTAGGGATACACAGTATAAAAAGATGTAAATTATGACACCAGAAATTTAAAATGTGAGGAGGGTAGAGTAAAAGTGTAGTTTGTGTGTGTGTGTGTGTGAATAAAGTTTTTATCAGCTTAAAATAGCCTGTTTTGAGCACAGGACATAGTGAAGAAGTATACAAAATAAAATAAAAATTAATACCCTATTATGATTATATTTTATGTAAATCTCATGGTGACCACAAAGCAAAAAAACTTTAGTAAATACACAAAAGATAAAAATTAAGGAATAAAGCATACCACTAAAGAAAATCACCTAAGCGCAAAGGCAGACAAGAAGAGAGGAAGAAAGCAACAAAGGATCTGCAAAACAACCAGTGAACAATTAACAAAATGGCAGTAGTAAGTCTTTACCCATCAATAATTATTTTGAATGTTAATGGCTTAAATTCTCCAATCAAAAGACATAGAGTGACTGAATGGATAAAAAACCAATACCCAAGTATAAACTGCCTACAAGAGATTCACTTAACCTATAAGGGACACAGGTAGACTAAAAGTGAAGGGAGGTAAAAAGATATTCTGGACATGGAAACCAAAAGAGGGCAGGGTAGCTATAATTATATAGCATTTAGGTCAAAAACTGTAAAACAAGGTCATTATATAATGATAAAGGGGTCAATTCAGCAAGAGGATATAATAATTAAAATATATATGCATGCAACATTGGAACACCAAAATATATAAAGAAAAGATTAATAGATCCGAAAGGAGACTATAATACAGTAATAATAGGGGACTTCAATACCCTGC